TGCCGGGTCGTCAAGCGATGCATACTGCCGCTGCAGGGTCGGGCTCCGACATTGACGAGTCCGACCACAAGGACTTCGGGCAAGCCTCAGTCATGACCGCCTTCGGGGTCAACCCAAGCCAAGCCAAGCCTCGGTCCTCCTTCTTCCTTCATCCTTTTTCCTTTTCCCTCCCTCCTCCCTCCTTCGTCCTTCTTCCTTCCTCCCTCCTCCTCATCATCATTCTCCCTCTCCTCCTCCTCCTCCTCCTCCTCCTCCTCCTCCTCCTCCTCCTCCTCCTCCTCCTCCTCCTCCTCCTCCTCCTCCTACTCCTCGTCGTCGTCCTCGTCCTCCTCCTTCTCATCCTCCTCCTCCCTCCTCCTCCTCCTCCTCCTCCTCCTCCTCCTCCCTCCCCTCCTCCCTCCCTCCCTCCCTCCCTCCCTCCCTCCCTCCCTCCCTCCCTCCCTCCCTCCCTCCCTCCCTCCCTCCTCCCTCCCTCCCTCCCCTCCGTCCCTCTCCTCCTCGTCCTCCTCCTCCTGCTCCTCCTCCTCCTCCTCCTCCTCCCTCCTCCTCCTCCTCCTCCTCCTCCTCCTCCTCCTCCTTCTCCTCCTCCTCCTCCTCGTCATCGTCATCGTCGTCGTCATCGTCGTCGTCAACCTCGTGCCTTGCTCTGCCGTGCTCGTCCCAAGGAAGTCCGCGTCGGCAGAGCCCTGGGCAGCCCACCCCGCCCAGGCCTGCCCAGGCAGCCGACACGGTGACTCTTCACCACGAGGTCCCCGTGGCTCTCTGCAGTCGGAGTCAATCATCGGCGGCGAGCCCGGGGGGGGGGACAGGCTCAGGTTTTCGACGCTCTCTGTGCGCGTTTGATCCTCCTGGAGCGCCCTCGTGGCCACGGCTGGGTCCACCTCGAGGTTCTGGTCGGAGCGGATCCCAGGAGAGGTCCCTGGGCCAGTCTGTGTCACCCCTGGCCAAGGGCAACGCCAGTCGGCGGCGAGCGAGGAGGGGGAGTGAGAGGGGGCGGGCCCTTCTCAGAAGGCTCGGGAGTCCCCCGGCCTTCTGGGAGGTTTTCTCGCCCTTCCCTGAAGGAACAAGAAACTGATCACAGAGCCGGAGGGCTTCTGAGAAGCCCCGCTGTCTTCTGATTCCTCCTCATTCTCACTTACCCCCCTCGCTCGGCGCCGAGATTGAAGAGGACACGCGAGAGGACACAGGACCCTCCGAGGGCCACATACAGGAATGTAAAAAGGCATTGGCCGCGAAGCACAAAACAAAAGGGTACGCTTGATTTGGCAGAATCGACCTGCCAATCAGCCTCGACTGTACAACAGCCTGCTGAAGCAGTACAGCCCTCGTCGTCGTCACCGATTGTCGAGGATCGCGGTTTTCGTGTCCTATCGACGGCTCGGGGCGCTTTCGTGCTTGATTTAATGACGAAACATGAGCTTGTCCGCTGCTTACACGCAAAGAAGCAAGCGCTAATGACGCCACGATTGTCAGCCGTCCTCGCATGAGGTTCCGATATTGCTTCAAGACGGCACCCAGGCATCCCAAATAGCTCCAGCGCATCCGATAATTATAGGAAGGGGCCGGCGGCAGAGGGCGAAGCCCTGAAGGACAGACATCGATACTTCTCCAGATGTTGAAGGTTGAACATACTTCCCCTTCCCCCCTACACTGACCTTCACGAGCGGCGAGCATATCTTTATCCACATTCTCGCGGTCTGGATTCTGGGGCGCGGTCGCACCGATGCGTTCCACGCAGGGCATCCACGAGAAAACGCGCCGTGTACACGGGGTCGCGGCCCGGGGGCCAGGCCCACGAGGTCGTAGATACGGACATGCTCTCCGCCTCTGAGACCCAAACATGCGACGCCCTGACTTTGTCAGTGCGGGGTCCCCGGAAGTCCCGACCCTTTCCCTGGGGCCAGCTTACTCCAGATCTCGTAATAAAAGGGAGGGGATCTCATTTCGGGGGGAGGGTCTCTTCCAGGCTATCTTGGAGGGCCTGGGGGGGTCTGGGGACGATGTTTTGGAGGGTTCTCCCACGGGGGGGGGTCTGAAATGGCTTGTCTTGGAGGGTCCAGACCCCCTCCCTTTTATTACGAAATCTGGAGTACTATCCCGAATAATTGTCCGACGCGCCTGGGGCCCGGCGAGGGCCCCTGGGGGCCGAGAACGGCAGACGAGCCTCTGTCCCGAACTCCTGACGGCGCGGGCACGTCTGGGGACCTGCCCTCCTGCCCCGGATTCTTGCACGCGTGAAAACATAGAGGGCTCCCAGGTGGGGTCCGACTATAAAGGGGCGGAGGATCGCGCTGCCTCGCCAATGCGTCGCCGATGCTTCGGCGACTGATCGGCGAGGCATCGGCGACGCATCTGCGACGTCGACGTCGGCGGTGCATCGGCGACGTCGGCTTGGAGACATTCTGGCCCCAAATCCGGTCGCATCGTCGATGCATCGGCGACGCGGAGCGATGCTCGGAGCAGGAAAAAACGGCAGAAGCATGCAGCATAAACTTCCGGAGGCCAAGGGGGCCCAGCGGTGATCCAAGACATCCGCGCGGACCTCCGAAAGTCGATGCCCATGCAATTCTGTGTTCCTCGAGATTCCCCGACCCCTCTCTGTCTTGAGCCCAACTGGGAGGTCGAGCAGAAGACCGGCGCGATCCCCGGCGTGGTTTGACCCTCGGGCGCCGCACCCCCAGGCTGCGACCAGAGGCCTCCCAAATGGCCCCGAGATGGCCCCGAGGTCGCCCCACAACGGCCGAATGCCGATACGGTCAACCAGTACGGTAAGGATGCGCGATAAGGATGCAAGGGCCGTGGACGCCCATTTCGAAGCTTTTCGAGCGGGGCGCGGCCAGCGAAAGCGGCGAAGCATGAACCGAGGAGGCAAGGATGCAAGGATACCCTTGGAAAGGTTGCCCATCCTTACTGTGCGGGTCGACTGTACACGTCCCTGAACAGGGCAACTCCAAAGAAACAGAACAATGGCATAAACAGAAAAACTCGGAGGTCCGCGCGGATTTCTCGGATCGGCGTTGGACATTCCCTTGGCGCGCGGAGCGCGCCAGGGGCGGCGCCGGAGGCGCCGCCAGGGGGCTCCAGCGTCGATACGAGAAATCCGCGCGGACCTCCGGGTTTTAACGTTGCTGTCATCGCTCGTTCCCCTAAACTCGTCAGTTGACTGAGTGACTTGGGATGGGCTGGTGGGCATACGCGAAGCGCCAAGAATTACCAAAAGCTTGAAAACAGATCGGGGGCGGCCAAGAGGGGTACGTCCAAGAGGGGGGGGCGCAAATCATGGCCCGAGGCATGTGCGCGGCCCAGGGGGGAGGGCCAAGGACGTAATGAACTAAGAAGAGGCGCCATGAAATCTGAGGAAATCTCATGGCCCCCGCCATGATATCCACCCCCCCTAGTCATCACCCCCCCCTTGGCCGCCCCCGAGATGGGCTTGTGGGCACACGCGAAGCGCCAAGAATTCCTAAATGCTTGAAAACACCGGCGCCCCGACGTGCTTTGACCGCCGGGGCGCCGCACGAAAGCCGAGGACGCGTCAGCCTCGGATTCGGGGGACTCGGGTCGGCTTGACGGGGCCGCCAGGAAAATGATAACCAGCCTCGAACTGATCCCAATCCCTTAGATGGGCGATCAAAAAGCGACGACAATCTGAGGGATGTGCTCGCAGAAACTGAGGGAATCCTTCAGATCGACATCGAGGTGAGGTGATGCCAAACACAGGATGTTTCAAACTGGTAAAATGACGAAACTCAATCTGCAATTTGACGCGAGCTCCCGCTGCAAACATCCCACGAAAACTGCACCGTCAAAACCCAGGATGCGCCGGTAGAAAAAAGCAGTGACGCACTGACCTGGGCCAATGCGAACCTGGGTCAGTCAGGCTTTGCACGATCATGCAAGATCCTGCAAGATCCGGCAAGATCCTGCACGCAAACGCGGGTCAATGCACCCCTGGCTCTGCAGGATCCTGCAAGATCCGGCGCTCTGGCTGACCCCCCCTTTGCATTGACTCAGCATGGGGGAAGCGAGTCCTGAGGGAACCGGGAGCCTTCCCCCAAAACGAGATCTGCATCGTGAGTCGTCTTCTGACAGTCCCGGGACCCGTGGAGGGCCCCGAGAGCCCGAAAACGACGAAAACCTCAGGACACAATTCCCCCAGGACCGGCTTCCACCAGGGCGAATTGACCCCCCGTCCCAAGGCTCCCGAAAGTATCGGCAAACCCACGTTCCGGAGAACCCGAGTCTTACGTCTTGCGAGGCGGGGGTTTACCCAGATCCACCGCCAAGGACCGACGTCCTGAGGACCCAGCGGACGGTGGATGTGGAGATCTAGATATATACATACACGCTTATATATATCACATTACATATAAATATGCAGTTGCACATACGTATACATACACATATACATAGATCTATTCATGCACATATAAATATACACATACGTATGCATACACCTATGTAAACATATGTGTATATATAGACACGTATACAAATTCGCCGGCCCAACGGGCCAGAGGCGTGCTAAGATCTCCGGTAACTTGTTAACAATATTTCTAGTTCGCGCGCGCGGAGCGGCCCCTGGGGGCCCCCGGACGAAAAGTACCCCGGCAAGGTCCCGAGAGAAGCCCGGGAGAAGCCACCAGACCACTCCAGGGGAGGGTATTTTTCGACACCCCTCACGAGGATCGTGGCCTCCGAGGGGGGAGCCGCAATCGACTACCCCCAAGAGCCCCCCAAGAGGCCCTGGGGGCCTCCAAAACGCCGCCAAGGAGCCCCAAGAGACTCCCAAGAGGTCCCCAAGAGGCCCCCAAGAGGCCCTAAAGAGGGCTCCAGGGCCGGCGGCATGAGCGAAGCGATTAAATAACTACACTGATACGCACAATTGTGAATGTGCATGTGCAGATGCATCTATATGTACATATGCATATACACATGTACATATACATGTACATAAACATGTCCATTGTCAAATACATCTACATGCGCGTAAACATATACACATACATATACGCATACATATGCATATACATAGAATGCACATATGCATGTGCATATGCAAATTCAATGTATACACATATACCTATACGTATACATATACACTTAGATATACACATACACATACACATACATAACTATATAGCTATACATATATGAATACATTTTCATAAATCCTAAACATATACACATACCTATACGTCTACATATACATGTATATACACCGACATGTACAGCTGTTGAAGTGTATATGCATAAACATATACATATAACGAAAGCTATCATAAACATATGTATGCATAAACATATGCATATGTGTAAACGAATGTGTATATATATATATAGATATATATATATATATATGTATACACCCTGGCCCGCGGAAGCCAAAATGTGTCCATATCCACCGCCTGCGGAGCGCCGCGAAAATCGATCATCCTGGCGGTAGATACGTGGAGGTCTTCTTACTCGGCAGTGTCGACATTGAGCGAGAAGAGGGGGGGAGGGGGGGTCTGGCTCCGGACCTCTGCTGAGCGCGACCGTTTGGAGCAATGCTCCCCTGGGGAATCCCAGGGGGAGGCGGGGCCCCCGTCCCGTGCTCACCCCATCTGCTTGAGACAGGCGCCGAAAGCAGCCAGGCCTTCTCCATGGGAGGGCGGGGGGGGCGACGGGGTGCGAGGGCCCGCGCCGATCGGCAAAACATGGGTAACGAAGAATGACATAAACATAAAAATTTGGAGGTCCGCGCGGATTTCTCGGATCGGCGCTGGACCCCCTTGGCATCGCCTCCGGCGCTGCCCCTGGCGCGCTCCGCGCGCCAGGGAGGGGGGTCCAGCGCCGATCCGAGAAATTCGCGCGGACCTCCGAGTTTTTATGTTTGTGTCATCCTTCGCTCGCCTCAAACAAGGAGCAGGGCAACGACCCCCGTGTACAAATCCCCGCCTCGAACGCTGCGAACTTTGCCCCGAGGGGGCAACGACCTCCGTGTGCCCACCCGCCGGTCGTTGAAGGTAGGTATTTTTGGATTCCCAGACCCCAGTCAACTTCAAGCGCCTTCCTACTTCAGGAATCGGCTTGCTGTTGCTGTGTTTTGTTATTCTCTGGGGGGGCCTGGACCCAATCTGCTATATCCGCCTTCCTACTTCATGTTTCTACCTACTTCTTCCGACCGACGCGTAACTTCCCGCCTCGAACGCCCTGTGTACGAAACCCCGCCTCGAACGCTGCGAACTTTGCCCCGAGGGTTTGGACGCCCGAAATGGGTACCGAAAGAATGGGTACGATGCCCAACAACAAATGTTGTCCCAAACCATCAGCGGCCGCTGTTGGGCCGGCGGCCTTCTGTCTCGAATGGACACAGGCCGCGGCGGCGTGGACAGCGAATCCTGCTCAAGATGAACAGGAACTGCTGTTGGGCATCGTACCCATTCTTTCCGTGCCCATTTCGGGCGTCCAGAGAGGGGGCAACGACCTCCGTGTGCAAAAACTTCCCGCCTCGAACGCTCCTCAGGGGGACGTAAGACCTGGGTACAGAGGACTCGGAAATCCCCGACGAGGTCGCCAAAAAAATGACGAGGCCGAGCCTGCATTTTGACGAGGCCTCCCGCTGCAGACATCCCACGAAACTCCTCCTCGTCAAAATCCGAGGCGCGGTCGTCAAAAAACGATGGCGAACCCGAGTCCTGGCAAACCCTGGTCTTACGCTCCCCCGATCCGTGTACGAACCCCCGCCTCGCACGCGCTGCGAGCCCTGCCCCGAGAGAGAGAGAGGGCGGCTCAGGCCTCCGTGGCGGCGCCCACGACGGCCCGCAGGGCTCCGGCGGCCCTCCTCGCCGAGGGGGTGCTGCTCAGGAGGGGCCCCTGGCCCCAGGTCAGGCGTGTCCTCTTACAGGCGGAGCTTGGACGAAAAACTTGAAAATACCATTTTTTTTAAGGAGAAAAAATGCCCCCCCTGGCCCCAGGTCAGGCGTGTCCTCTTACAGGCGGAGCTTGGGCGAAAAACTTAAAAATACCCATTAAAAAAAAAAACATCTAAATTTAGAGAAGAAGAAAAAAAAAAAAAAACTGGCCTTAGGTCGGGCGCGTCCTCTTACAGGCGGAGCTTGGGCGAACAATTTTTAAAAATACCCCACCCCCCCACCCCCCCACCCAAAAAAAACATACCGAACAACAAAAAAAACAAAGATATTCAAAAGTACTTGAAATCGTCCCCAGGCTATTGTTTGACTGTCTTTGAATTTTCCTCCCGTAGAGGGACAGGCCCGATAGAACCCTGTCTCCGCTGGGCGCTGCTGCGCAGGGCGGCGGCGAGATCTGCAGTGTTGAGGCCGGCAGCAGTCGGCGGCGAGCCCGGGGGAGGGGCTCAGGGGTTCGAGGTTCGCTCTCTGTGCGTGTTTGCTCCACCTGGAGTGCCCTCGTGTGAGGGGCAACGATAGGAGGGACTGGCACAGAGGGGGTGCATCGACATGGAATCGGCGATGCACCGCCGATAGATCGCCGATAGGCCCCCGATAGTGAGTCCTGGGCGAGGTGGGGCTATCGGGCCACTATCGGCGATTAGTGGGCGATGGGGGGGGCGATGCATCCCCCCCTATGCCGATCCCCCCCTATCGTTGCCCCTGACGTGGCCACGGCTGGGTCCAACTCGAGATTCCGGTCTGGTCAGAGCGGAGTCCCAGGAGAGGTCCCTGGGCCAATCTGTGTCACCCCTGGCCAAGGGCAACGCCAGTCGGCGGGGAGCGAGGAGGGGGAGTGAGAGGGGGCGGGCCCTTCTCAGAAGGCTCGGGAGTCCCCCGGCCTTCTGAGAGGTGTGCTAAACCTTTTGCGAAGACACAGGGAACTTCTCAGGAGGCGCAAGGGCTTCTGAGAAGCCCCGCCGCATTCTGAGAGCTTCTTCCCCTTCTCCCTTCCCCCCCGCCTCGCTCGCCGCCGAAGTAAGGCTGCGCGAGAAGGATGCAGGGGGCTTGGACGGCCACGCCGATGCTTCTCGAGCGGGGCTGGCCATCGGAAGTGGCTGGGGTTGGACCGAAGAGGACCAAAGAGGCAAGGATGCAAGGCCACCCCTAAGAAGGGGATCGTCCATACTGTCAGTTTCGACTGCTCTGAGGGGGGGCCAGGGACACACAAGTCAACAGGTACGGATCCCAGGATTCCCCATATGTCCCATACTCTCTGGAAGTTCGTCCTCCCCTCCACTTCCCTAATTTCCCATCTACCTTCCTGGGGTTAAACGATTGCTTGTGTCTGTGGGTGTTTGGGTTTTAATATACACGGATCTGGGCCTCCTGAACGGGGACCGAGCAAATGGGGTCGAGGGATCGCTCTGCATCGCCCAATGCATCGGCGATGCTTCTCGATGCCGAGGTCGACGACATCGCCGACACATTGGCAAGTCATCGGCGAGGCGGCAGGATCCTCTGACCCGATCTCCTCGGACCTCATTCTGGAATTAAGTCGGGCGTGTCCCTCTACAGGAGGAGTACTCAAGAATTGTAAAAAACAGTCTGGGGACGATATTTCCACTATGTTTATTTTTTCGCCCAAAATCCGCCTGTAGGAGGACATGCCCGACCTAATTCTGGGAGGCCTCCGGCATATCCACCGGCCCTGTGGCCAGGCCCACCCGAATGGTCAAAAATATTGAAAAATATTTAAAAATAAACTTATCGAAAAATCGTCTCCGGACTATTTGTTAACTATTCTTGGATATTCCTCCTGTAGAGGCACGCCCGACTTAAGGCCAGAGGCAGTGGACATGCCCAGATCTCGTCGCCCGAGAAGGGGGGGGCGATCAACTGGTGGGGGCCAGAAAGGTGCACCTGTCGTGGCCATTTGGGGCCCCAGGCGGCCCTTTTGGGGGCCCCTAAGGTACAGAAGCTGCACCTCTCTTCACCCCCCCCACTTATTGCCCCCCAAAACGCAGCGCATGACCCAAGGTGCTCCCAGGAGTTCTGAAGGCCCCCGCATTAGATGCTCGTTCTGGGGACTTCCTGGAGCCATTGGCGCCACTCATGCGTCGACGCTGCGTCGAACGTCCGTCGACGTGAGATGATCTTGAGTCGAACTTGAGTCGAACTAGAGTCGAACTTGAGTCGAGCTAGGGTCGAACTAGAGTCGAACAGATCCGTCAGGTGGGCCCCAGGAAGGACCGCGCCCGCAGTCTCTGGAGCACCCCTCCACGAGGCCCGGAGGGCCCTGGGGGCCCCAGGAGGGGGGCGACAAGCTGGGGACGCCTCGTGCCAGGCACACCCGTTGACGACCGCCCGGGTCCTCCGCTCCTTCCACAGCCTCTTGCGGAGCTTCTTCTCCTCGGCGGCGGGCAGCGGGCGGCGCACGGGGCGCGGGGGCGGCCCGCCCAAGAGGGGCAGGGAACTGCCCAGATTGGACAATCGGCCCTCTCCTTAAAGAAGGCCTCCCTGAGGGCTGGAGGACTTCCGAGGGAGGCGCTGCGCCGTCATGAGACCGCTCTCCTCGCTGCGCACGCGGCCAGAATCTGCTCAAAGCTGGCTCCTGCGAACCCCGCTGGTTCCCGGACCCATCCCTCCTGACCCACTCTTGGGGAGACCAAAAGGTACCGATACCGCTACTCCCCAGACCTCTCCCAGGGTGCGTTCTGACCAGGACATCAAGGCGAATCCAGCGGTGGCGACGAGGGCCTCCCAGGAGGCCCCAAAAGGGGAAAATGGCCGAAGGGTAGAGGTATGGGTACCTGTTCCTCCTCCGAACTCTTGGAGCTGCGTCTGGCCGTGGCGACGAGGACCACCCAGGGGCCTGATAGCCGAGCCTAGCTGCAAAAGCCCTCAAACCGTCGACCCTCCCGATACTCCAATCTCCCCCGGGCCCCGCAGACCTCTGCGCGCCCGCCAGGCGTCCTCTGGCGGGCACAGGTGGCAAAACCCGCACACGGTGCCGGAGCTGCAGCCACCCTTGAAGACAAAGGCGCAGGGCTTGCAGATGCCGAGGTAGTGGCCCCTGGTGGGGGGGGGGACAAAAAGAAGCCGATGCCGCTGCTCCGCAGACCTCCCCACGGGCGCGTCCTGACTAACACTCCGAGGCGAGCCAAGCCGCGGCGGCAAAGCCCTCCCCCCGGATTCCCAAAAAGACGAAAACGATGGAAAGCCATGGGTGTAGGATGCAAGCGCCTTGGAAGGCCGTGTCGACACTTTGCGAGCAGAGCGCGGCCAACGAAAGCGACCATGGATGGGACGAGGGGAAGGATGCAAGGGTAACCTTGGAAAGTTGCTCATCCTTACTATGCGGGTTGATTGTACGTTCGCCCGCACTTCAAAATGCTATCAAGATCGGCCCCTGGAATTCCTCCTGGGGCCCATTGGCTGGCTTCTCGAGCTGCGCCCAGCCGTGGCAGCGCGAAAACCTCCAGAAACGCCCCCAAAGCCCTCCGACACGAGGACATCGTCGGTCGTTGTCGGCATCGGCACGTCTCCCTCATCTAGAGGCCTCCCAAATGGGCTACGAAAAGAAAGGGGTCTTACGCGAGATGACATAGCGACTTTACGCCGCAGCTTACGCGGACCGCCAGCGCGGCACGCTGCATTGGAAACGAGGGCGCTTACGCGCGGCCTCACGCGAGCAGCTAACGCGCCAATGTCGGCGCAGACGTCCCCGTTCTCTTTCGTCGCCGAAATGGGGTCCGAGTAGATGGGCTCGGAGGATCGCGCCGCATAGCGATGCATCGGCGTCGTCGGCGTGGAGAAAATCGGGCTCCACCTCGAGCTGTATCGCCGACGCATCGGCGACGCGTCACGATCCAATGACCACATCTACTTCGGCCCCATCTGAGCGGCCTGGACCGGGGCAAATCGGGGATCTCTGAGATCCAGAGCTTCTGGCGGATGCATCTCCAGAGAGCGTTGGGACGCTCTTAGGGCGGTCAGCAACGCTCTGGAGCGATTCATCCTGGTCCTACTAGGATCGGCGCGGGGGTTGCCAAAGGGATAGGGGGGTGATCATTGGATGCCAAGGTGGGTCATATCTGGCCTAACCTAGCTTAGAAGCGGGTTACAAATGCCCTAAGTGGCCGAGAAGGGTTAACGATCCAGGCTAGGTGGGCTCCGCCCACTTAATAGCGGAGATATCAAAGCCGCTTGGGGCAAGTGTAATCCACTAAGAAGACAGGCGAGGCAACATATAACCCACCTGGGCATCCATTGATCGCCCCCGCGCCGATCCCAATACATACGCCCGACACACCCCCTGCTGGCATGAAAGAAACGGGTCGTGAGGGAATCGGGTCCTGGACCAGGGGGCCTTCGTCGTCTTCTGACGGTCCTGGGGCCCTTGGAGGACCCCGGGAAGCCCCAAAAAAGCGCAAAACCTCAGGACCCGTTGCCCTCAGTGTTAGGTCGGGCATGTCCCCCTACAGGCGGATTTGGGAGGAAAAATTAAAAATAGCCAAAAATACATTCAAATATCATTAAGAAGAGTAAATAAGATCGCCCCCAGACTATGGTTTAACTATTTTCGAATGTTCCTGCTGTAGAGGGACATGCCCGACTCAACCGTTGCCCTCAGTGCGAGGCGGGGAGGTATCCATATCCACCGCCTGGGCACGGACGTCCCAGCGGGCCCCAGCGGGCGGTGGATGCGGACAGATGTTGGCCCCCCACGGGGGCCCGAATGCATCCACATCCACCGCCCGTGGTGGGTCCGCGAGGATCGATCCTCTTTGGGACGCACATAGACACAAGTACTATATGTCCTCCTCGGAGGCGCGCGTCCGACCCGAACATATAATATACCCATCTTGTAGTAGATCGTTTCCCGAGCGGTGTAGCCAGAAAGCGCCCGCCACGACGCAGCTACTGTAAGATTTCTCGGTGGGCGCGTCGCCCCTGGCGGGGCGACGCACATATAGTACAAGCATGCTGGGGTGACGCCGACTCTAGGCCTACGACTCAGGACCCATTTCCTTCATGAGAGGCCTCCTAGATGGGGTCCGAGTAGGTGGGGTCGGAGGATGGCACCGCATCGCCGATGTAGCGGCAATGCGTCGGCGAGGCATCGGCGATGCATCGGCGAAGCATCGCCGCCGTCGGCGACGCATCGGCGACGCTGGCGTGCGTGAAGCAAATCGGGCCCCACATCGAGCCGCATCACCGATGAATCGGCTATGCGGCGCGATCGTCCGACCCCATCTACTCCGACCCCATCTAAAGAGGCCTACAGAGGATCGTTCCTCTGGGCCTCGCACTTAAGACCCGATTCCTTCATTTGAGCAGGGACCGACCCTACCGGCATCCCCATAGGCCTCCCACAAAGTGTTCTGAGAACCCCAGAGTCTTCTAAGAACAAACATAGAGCATGAACCCGACGTCTTAAAACAAGACAGTCTAAGCCAGAAACGTGCAGAGAACCTTTCGTGCAGACCACACAAAGGTTCTTGAAACATCACTTTGGTGGGCCTAGAGGCGAGCCAGGATACTTCGCCACTGCTTGATCATTACCCGCTTCCTTCATGGCGGCCCTGGCCTGGACAGGAGAGC